CTGGGACCCTGTCATCAGCTGGTGGAGGTGTACCTGAACTTCAACCCCGACGCTAACAATAAGCAGGGTCTATACAGTCATCGGGACCCTGTCATCAGCTGGTGGAGGTGTACCTGAACTTCAACCCCGACACTAACAATATGTGGGGTCTATATAGCCATCGGGACCTTGTCATCCTTATTCAATTTTGAGGAGAAATAGAAAAGTGCTGTTCTGAACTTTAATGTGAAATGACTGGGCATGTGCTTTTGTGTGTAAGTGTGAATTGATATGGTTAGTATGCTTTTCTGCGTGTAACATAGTTAGTGTACTTATGGGGGTCAGAGGGCAGCCTGTGGGAGCCAGTTTTCCTTTTCCACCAGGTGGGTTCCGGAGATGAAACTCAGCTCATCGAGGTCAGTAGCAGGTACCTTTACCCGATAAGCCACCTTGTCAGCCCCAAGTTTTAAACTTTTTGTTTCCTAAATGGTTGCTGTGGATCGTAAAAGTACCGAAACTTCAGAAAGTCCAACAGGAGTCATTGAACTGAACAAAATTATAATTTTTTTCTGAAATCAAAGTGCGCAAGCTCACTGTCAACAGGTTATTAATCACTGTTAAGCATTTAAGAGTTCTGTTAAAAACTGTCCATGAAAGACCACCCGTGAGCATCCCTGGGGGATGCTCAAGCTCCCTTTAGGGAGTCAAAGGGCTTCATTACAATCTCAGGCACTGTTTGCTGGTTTTAGCCCTGCTGAAGTCTGTGCTGGTGCTGCACAAGCATCGGTGGAGCAAAGCTTCCCTCTGAGCACAGGTCAACACGGCGACCCTAGCAACGCTAACAGCCACTGTGTTCACTACTGCACGGTGCTAAATACACCAACTAATTAACTCAATTAAAAGTCAGTTTCACTTCACAATGAAGTAGCAAAACCTTAATGTATTAATTCTCAGCCTTTGAACATATCTTTTTAGTAGACCACATGATCACGTATAGAGGACAAAGTATACAGTTGTGCTATCACCCAGAAGTAAAGGTGGTCTCAAGAGAAGGGCTTGTGACCAGGTGTGGTGGCGCATGCCTTTAATCCCAGCCCTCAGGAGGCACAGGCAGGTAGATCTCTGTGAGTTTGAGGCCAGCATCATCTACATAGTGAGTTCCAGGACAATCAGAGTTATGTCTCAAAAACAAAAAGGGAAGAAAAACATCATGCAGCTGAATTAATGAGTGGGCTCTTCATTTTGTTTTAATGGAATACCATTTTTACTGGAAAGATGTCTTACCTATTCTTAGAGGAGCATGGATGCTCTCTCCCTCTCTCTCTCTCTCCCTCCCTCCCTCCCTCCCTCCTTCTTTCTCTTCCTTCTCTTCAGCTGAACTCCAGGAGCCCAGCCCAGTGCTCAGCTGTGGGGCACTGCATCTGCTTCCATCAGTTACTGCATGTAGGTTCTAGGATGACAGTTAGGGTAGCCACTACTCCGATTACAGGGACAGACCAGGTCAGGCACCCTCTCCACTATTTCCTGGAATCTTAGCTGGGGTCATCCTTGTGAATTCCTGGGAATTTATCTAGCACCAGGTTTTCCCCTAACCCCATAACGGCTCCTTATATCAAGATATCTTTCATTGCTCTCCTTTGTCCCTCCCCCAACTCAGCCTTCTCCGTCTCTCATGTTCCCATCCCCACCCCTTCTACCCTCTCCCAGTGTACCCAGGAGATCTTAGCTGTTCCCCTTCCTGGGGCCCTCCATGTGTGTCCCTCCCCGAGCTCAGCCTTCTCCATCTCTCATGTTCCCATCCCCACCCCTTCTACCCTCTCCCAGTGTACCCAGGAGACCTTAGCTGTTTCCCTTCCTGGGGCCTCCATGTGTGTCCCTCTTAGTGTTCTTGTTGTGGGAGTAACTTCCGCTGCCTCAACCAATAATCACTGAAGCAGGAGCCCACAGTGCAGCGGGAAGTGACTTCCGCTCCGTCAGCCAATAGCTGCTAAAATACCAGCCCACTGGGGCGTGGTATATTTCTCTTTTAAAAAGAGAAGCAGTTCCGGATAAGGTCTCTCTTGGTTCCGACTCTTGGTTCCGGTGCTCAGTCTCGGCTGCTGCTCCCAGCTCCTGCTCCAGCGACTAGGCTCCCTTCCTGACGGTTTATGGTGTATGTAAGTTTTACCCCCCGCCAAATAAATAACCCCTTAAAACATAACTGGTGTGGGATTGATTCGTTAATAATTGGCGCCCAACGTGGGGCCAATATCCCATATCATGTTCTTCTTTTTTACTTAGCTTCTCTAGGTTGTAAATTGTAGCCTGTTGTCCTTTGTTTTATGTCTAATATCCACTTATGAATGAATACATATTATATTTGTCTTTCTTGCTCATCCTTAATACGGGGGTGGGGTCCTTGGTCCTTCCTCAACTTGGTATGCCAGACTTCCTTGACTCCCCAAGGGAGGCCTTGCCCCCACTGGAGTGGATGGGTGGGATGGGAGGAGGTGGGAGGTAAGAGAATGGGGGGGGGACTAGGGTTGGTATGTAAAATAAAAAAAATTAAATAAAAATAAACAGAAAAGGAAAAAATAAAAAGAAGAAGGAGCCATGGGTTTGGGAGTGGGAGTGGACATGGACCAGTAAAAGAAGAAGATGGGGATGTTGGCAGACTTGTGTAAGCCCAGATTTCTTCTCACACTTCTGCTCTAGGAACAGATCACAACAGACTGGAGACAGACGCCGAGAAGAGAGCCCGGCTGTCTTCTGTTTTGCCAGAATTAAAAAAATTTGTAAAATTTGAAACAACATTCTTTTCACTAATTCTTGTTTAGTGTCGTTAGTTCTTTTGTGTGGTTTAGTTAGTTTTCATCAAATTGCAGTGTTTATGTGAACCTGGAATAAATTTTTTAAACGAATGGATATATAAATATGTTTTAAATATCCCAGTTTTAATTTCCTAAGTAGTAACCACTTATAGATATAACAGGTAAACAGTCTCCCCAAGGTCTTTAATAATTTTAAGAGAATAAAGAAGTCCTGAGGTCATGAGGTCAAACCGTTAGAATTAGAAATACATTTGCGTTCAACAGCTAAAGCACCCAGAAAAAATAATTTCTTTTTGCCAGGATGTGTGACTTTTAAAGCACTGCCAACATTTCCTCCCTTAGTCCTCTCCAAGTTAAGTGAAATGGTGTCCAAAAAATAAGAAAATTATACAAGAAAGTAAGAAGCTAAATTTTCTTGCATTTTTTTTCCAGGAAAGTTTAAACCAAAGTATTGGGCTGGCTTTGTAGTTCACTGATAGAGTGCCTCACTAGCAATTGTAGAGAACTGGACTTGATTTCCCCCATGCACAATTACACACACACACACACACACACACACACACACACACACACACACACGGCAGTGCTCCTAATCCCAGCACTTGGGAGAATGAGGCAGGCATATTGAAAGCTCAGGTCAGCCTGGGCTACAATGTAAGGCCCTGTCTGAAAAAAACCAAACAAATAAAAAGGTATCTACCATCATGTATCATGTTCCATCTTGGTTTAGTTGGTTCACTTTATTTATTTGTCTATCGATTGATTGGTTGATTTGTTACCTCTCTTTGAGGAAGAGTCTCACTGTGTAGCTTATCCTCCTGCCTCAGACTTCCAAGGACTGAGATTACAGATAGGAACCACCATGCCCAGGCTTCCTTTAACCATTAAAGATTATGCTAACCAAATTTTGCTGTTTTTAATCCAAAACGTCCGTGGTGATAGGGAAGTAGGTGGTTTAACAAAGCTTGAACTCACCTGTAAACACGCTCGGGTGTGGGAAGTTAATGACAATCAGCCTTACTATCATTTCAGGGTAGCAGATGGCAATCAGCCAGGCAATCATGCCGCCCCAGTCATGACCAATCAGGACACACTTGCTGTACCCTGTGACCCAGAGAAACATGCTGACATCATGGTAAAGAAGCAAGTGGTGACATCGTTATCTCGCCTAAGAGTTACATTCCTGAGACCATTCTTACCACTACTTCACCAATATCCCCTACAAGTTATACACGTTAAAAACGTGTGTGTATCCGTGCCTGTGTGCGTGCCTGTGAGTGTGTATGTGCGTGTGCATGTGCTCACACTTATAATTCCAGTATGTTTGGATACCAGAAGCGGAGTCCAAGGCCAGCCTGGGTTATATAACATACTGTCTCAAGAAATAAAATAAGGAGCTACTGAGCCCAGTAATCCTAAAACTTGTTTGTACTTTAGACGCTGGTCCGAGCGCTGAGAATAGGTGACTGTTCAGTGTTCCATTCTAAGTGGGACTTTTGTATCAAGCCATCCGCACCACAGCTCAGGAAGCAGCAAGGGAGAGGGAGTGAAAGAATGATGCGGGAGGATGGAGAATGGCGCTGTGCAATGCCGTCTTCTAGACACGACGTGGCAGCCGCTGCGCATGCGCACAGTCCGGCCAGCGAATTTACTGGGGATGGGAGAATGGCTCACGGGACTCTACCCCTCCTGAGGTACTGGCAAACAAGGGCGCTGAAGCAGGGCTGACTGTGGGCAAAGAATGGCTTCTGGGACTGGGGCCACTTTTCTTTTAGGTCTGTGACTGCTGTTAGGTTGCCCGTGCTTCGGGCGCTGAGCCCCACACTATGTGCAGACGGCAATGCTGATTGGACTTAGTGCGTTTAAAAAAATAGAATTAACGAAGAGGACATGAAAGAAGGAAATGTGAGGGACCTGGGGGAGTTAGAGGGAAATAAAAAAAGTATTCTTAAGAAATCTGAAATAGTTGCGTTTTGGTTTTATAGACCTGTTTCTGGAAGCTGTGGTAGAGACCGCACGTAAGTAGGTCATAAATAAGATTATTTGGGATAGAGTTTCAATGTTAGCTGTCTTAGTGATACAGCGCATGATTTATATTATTAACATACTACTCTTTTTATTGCTGTTTTAGAGTATTCTTCCTCTAATAAAAACCATTTACTATAAAACAGTATGTTGTGGTTTGCCAGCAAGAATGTCGTACAACTCTTGCTTGCTAATCATCTTGATTGTACAGAGGCCACATTCAAGGACTGATAGATGCCACCTGGCCTTGTGTCAGCACACCGTGATATCGGCATAACGACAGACTTGCTTAATGATGCATTCCTCAGAACATATCCTGTCATTAAGCGACACGTGAATGTGCAAGTTTCATTCAAGGTAATCATAATGATGATGTGAATTAGGTTTAGGCTATTGATTAGGAGAGATCCCTACAGGATTTTCTTTGTGCATATGGATAAGACTCGTCTGTAATTCCTTTTTGGCATTTTCTCACCATGGCTTAAGTAACACACACATATGCATGCGCACTTGCAAACATCACCCCCCCCCCAACACACACACAGACACAGTCTTCTTGTTTCTATTATCGTTTGGCTATAGGATTTTGTGATCACCAATTTAGGCCTATTCTAACTGAATTATTGGCATGTATGAATGAAGCATATATACTTGAAATCAATGCCAGAATCTGTGTTATTTTGTCAGATTCAGAAAAAAAAATCAAAAACTAAACCAAACAAAGACGACAACAATAATAAAACCCATACACTCAGGTTTCACCCATCCATCCCTCTAGAATTACTGACTGGATCTATACTTTAATTATATTATGATACTCTTACCGTCTTAATTTAGTGGTATTCCCCCCCATGTTATTTCAACACACTAAAGGCAGGCCAATGAGATGGCTCAGCAGAGAATGACACTTGCTGCCAAGCTGAGGACCAGAGTTTGACCCCAGAACACACATGGTGGAAGGAGATGGTGGAGAATTGAGTCTCAGGTGTTGTCTGACCTCCACAACCATGTGTCCCTCTCAATATAAACATAAACAAACACACAAATTGCAGCGCAAAGTTGTTTTGTTTTAGTCAAAGTAAAGTTTGTAGATTGGATGGCTATTGTACAAAAAATACACTGTGTGCCCCTTTGATGTTAGGCTTGGCCATGTGACTGGCTTTGGTCCTTTGGTAGCTGTGTGACTTGACTGTGTGACTTGCTTTGCCTTGTGGGCTGTTAGCCAAAACTTGAACTATACCACGTGGCTGGGCTCAGTCTCTTACCAGCTCTGCCAGCTTCTGTCATGAGAAGACCCCGTCTATTCCTACCTATCTCCTTGACTTGGAGGCCATGGCTCAAGTCATACAGAGAAGCCAACCGGTCCCGTGTGGACCCACACCCAGCCTGTAGATGCCTGTAGTACCCTGATCATAGGAATACATGGCATGGTTGCCTTTCCCAAAGTTTGGGGGGA